TTGCATCATGAAATGGAGTACCTAAGAATTGTGCCTTGGTTATGAACATGTAACAATAAATAGGTAGTCCATTTGCAGCAGCTGATGTATCGATTAACAGTCAAAGTGGGTAATTTCTACTTGAATTCGATGTGCAGTGTTGCCAACCATATGAAATTTTACAAGGAAAAATTTGACAGAAGGTAGAGACAAAAACAAAGGTTTTTGTTCTGATACATCACCTTATTATTGCATCATGGCTATGAATTAAGCTGAATTTTCACACCTAGCGATCCCTAATTTTAGTTATTTTAATCAGCTGATTTGGAAATCCTACAAAACATTCAATTGAAATTTAGAAGAATTTTGTCTCATAAAATCTTTAAAATCTGCTATTAAACTCTGTAATGCTATGTTAGTATATACTATATAAGTTCTTTCTTTTAAATAATTTTATCAGTCAATTCCTGAGTTCTCCTCAATACTTTAGCAAATACAAAACATCTGTTTGCTTAACCTATAATAGAGTCATTAAAATAATATTTTACAATATTTATGCCAATGTAACAATTTAATTATGTCCGACTTTGAGTAATGGGAATTGGAATAGGTATTTATAACATACCCACAAGTAACAACAACAACACCAACGACCCTCAGAACACTTTACTACATTTTAAAACCGTTTCATATTGAAAACACAAACTTGAATCGGTTAAAAAATTAATTACAAATAACCTCTCTCCGCGACACAACAGACAGATGTTCGTTGGGAATATAAAGTAATAACACAATTAGAGGGTAATATAATTTTCGAATGAAATAAAAAAATTAATACAGTGGGATTCGGGATTCAAGATCAATGTAAAAAAATTTAATTCAACATTAATTAAAATAATAATAATGAGGAATAAATTAATTATTTACTCATGTTGCTGCATTAAATAAGTATGATCGCTGCATGTTAGCTGCAATCTTCATTTTTTGTGGAACACTGATCAGCTGTAAAAAAATAATATGCTGTTGTTTGGAATTCTTATTAACATCGCTCATGTTGATATTTAAATATAATTAAATTGTATAGAATTTAATTTTGTTGGTTTGGTAGTTTAAATCTCAATCTGCCATAACATGCGAATACAAAACATAATATCTTGTATTTTTTTAATTAATGAATGATAGCGTGACAAGTGTTGAATATTTTAGTTCGCTCACTTTTTTATTCGAAGAAATAAATTGTTTTAATATAGAAGATTTATGATTATTAACACCGCGTACGGAGATCGAAAGATGCTTTCGTGATAAGCAAGAAAGTTCGAATGTTTAACACAGACTTCGAAAAATATGTCAAATTTAATGTTGAGTTTAGAAATCTAACCTTGACTGATATTTAGTAAATATGGCATATTTTTTATATCCCAAATAAATTATGTGTTTTAATTTATTTCATGTAAACGAAGTTTTATTGACATCTTACTTCAATGCAACCTATTTAAAATTATTGAATTAAGGCAGTATAAAACGCCTACTAAATCGACTCAATTTCTAAATAAATTTTTCAAAATCCTAGCTGTTTAGATTAGTATTAAAATGATATAAAGCCTATCAGCTGATATTTGTTTACATGTATACAAACACAATCCCATGACACAATAAATAGGTACTCCATTTATCACAGCTGTCTATCCGATTAACTGTCAAAGTGAATAGCTTCTACTTCAAATCGACGTGCAATGTTGCCAACCATAAGAAATATTACAAGTTGACAGATGGTCGAATAAAAGTCAGCTGATCAGTATTTTTCTTTAATTCTAATAGGTGAAATTGTTGTTTTAAACTTTTTATAACATTCATAATATTTTTTTACAAATATTGTGGACTTAAAAAGACATTTTCATTTATTAACCCCCCAAAAATAGTCATGCGAACCTTTCACTCTGAATGTATTCTTATAGCTTTCCCTACATACTACAATTTATTTTACAATTACTCCAAATTTTATTATCGTTTCAATCAGCTGTTCGTCACAAAGTAATTTAGATTTCTATTCATGATTCAATAATAAGGTAATGTATCACAACAAAAGCCTTTGTTTTTGTCTCGACCAACTGTCAAAATGTTCCTTAAAATATTTCACATGGTTGGCAACATTGCACATTGAATTCAAGTAGAAATTACGCACTTTGACAGATAATCGAGTTATCAGCTGCGCTAAATGGACTACCTATTTATTGTGCCATGGATAGAACTATTAAGAAAAATATGTAAAAAATAAATACAGTACAAATGACATTAGCATCTAGAGATCCCTATTCTATGTGGCTTTGATCAGCTGGTTTAACATAAAACGGTTGAATTGTTTCGAAGATTACGATTATATATAACAAAAACTTGTTAAAATAAAATATTTTAATCGTTTCCTTAATTATACGTGAACTAAATGAAGATCTTTTGTAAATGGATTGGTTTACTATGCTACGTTTACATCAGGAAAAGCCTGAACGCAAAAAATATGATCATAGAGATTTAAGAAAAAACTACAATTGGAAAAATCGGATTGAATCTTCGGATTGTAATGTAAAAGAAATATTGGTGAACACTGAGATGACGGTATAGGACTTTTTCAGATAAATATCAAATTTACAGACATTCGAGTAGGCTAAACTCGTTCCTGAATCGGTTCGATGCACCTCAGTTCGCTCGGTTAAGGAAATTTTCATTTTAGTCCAATCGATTCATTGGTACACGACAGTTAATTCAGTCATGGAACACTAGAAGAACGATAGAAAAAAATATGCGACTGTAGCCAAATGAATTAGATGAACGAAAGAACCAGAATTAATACCGATCCTTCCTTTTGCGAAATTGTTCCTTTGAACTAGTTTGTTCCGGAATTGCCCATGAAATGCTAAAATTAATTGCATCAGTGGTGAAATGATGATTGATGTTTAAAATTCTATTGCATCTAAGATTATTTGGTAAAGTTGGAAAATCTCGTTCCTGATGCCGTTCAATTTTAAATTTTTTTGCTCCGCAAAAGGATCTCGGTCTTTAATTTAGTTCCATAGCTCGTTTTAGTGCAATCGTTCATTGGTTTAGTCAATGAACGAAACGATATATATGAACGATTGGATCTAGATGAACTAGGTGAACGAACACAAAAAAGAACGACTGGAGCAAAAAGAACTAGCCGAAACTAGTTCCAATCGTTGCTTTTAAGGAACAGAAAAATGATTTGGAGGAGACAGGAAAAGGTGTAAATAGTGATGTCATATTTGGAACCCCGTAGAATATAGGACATTAATTTAGTCCCATAGTCTATGAATGTCAGTCATATGAACGATTGGATTAAAATAAACGAATTGAACGAAAACAAAAGGAAACTGGTGTAAAAATAACTAGCGGAACATAGTGCCAATCGTTTTTGGGATACTGGGGAAGCTGTAAATAGTGATACAAACTTTAGAGCCCAGTCGACTAGGCATGAACGTTTGCTAGGAGATGTGAAAAAATTGTTTCTGTTATACCATAAAAGGTGTATGATCCAAAAGTTAATAGAAATCTCGAAAAACACAACTTAGCCAATGATCGGGGAGAGAACATTTATGTTTAGGAGGAAACAAGGCGGCCCAGCATTATAAATTTTTAGCCGATGGCTATTTTATTAATTCGAATTTTAGGTGCTGTGTTCATTATAAAAAACTTTCTGCAGATTTTGTAAAAGACATGTAATCGGAGCTTGTATCCATTTAGAAGACTTTACATCATTATCAAGTCGTTTTGAAAATTTTTCCAATCGGTTTGATAAGTACCAACAACTCGATGAATTTATATCGTCGCCATCCGTTTCTAGGCAGAAACGAAAGATATCTTCGAAGAAGGCATCAACTAAAACGATGCCTATTCGTAAAGCCTCTGTTTCTGCTGGGAATACTGCGACACGATCATCGCCAGATAATATTGATAAAACTGATGCTGTTAATGAACAGACTTATGACAGTTTCGCGTCTCATGCAACCACGGACGCGAGCAAGGATTTAATGGAAGTGCCAATACTTCATAACCCTATTAGTATTGATAAAAGTAGTCTGGAGAAGACCGCCAAATCAGGAGTTATCATTTCCTTTATCTGGTGCGTCTACCTACCCAAAGACTATATCAATGACCCCTGTCATGAAAATGGTCATTGTGTCTAGGTTTGCGACTAATGATATAAATTACTATATCAAATCAAAAATAAATAGTAAGCTACAAGCTTCGATCGGCATACTCTGAAAGTATATCATCATTTAAAATATTAGTTCATGATGATATATTTCCTATTTTTATATCTAAAGATTTTTGACCTGCTAATTTAGCTGATATACCTCAGAGGTCTAAACCAGAATCAAAAAACGAAGTAACCTATTTACCATTTGCTATCAGAATGCAAGGAAGTTAAACTCTAAATTACTTTAAATTCTTTTCCCCGAATTAAATTCCGACTTCCAAACTCCACGTACCAGGAAGCAAAAAAACATATTTTCCACATTCTTCACACAACACATGTCACAAAAATTAATTAAAAATATCTCTCATCACCTCCCTCCATATAAATACTTAACGAAAATATATGAATTAATTGCTATCCTTATAAAAAATCTCCTCCTTTCCCTTCTCCCAGATTTAAATGAATTTTAATGATATCAATAATAATTGTCAGACACCTGTTGCCTCACACAAAAAATCATATTTCCACTAAAAAGGAAAACTCCCCACGAAAAAAAACTCCACTTCTCCAAATATTTTATTTTACACCAAGGACCACGACAGATGATAGCAAGGATTTTTTTCCTTCCTTACATTGTGATTCCTTTTGGTAATTCCCATGGGCGAATGTGGTATTTACAATTGCATGTACGACAAATCAAATGGATATTAAGAGACTTGACGAGTGGTAGCCCGACAGACAGACAGCCTGACAATTTAAAGGTAAATATGTATAGAGTCTGGGAAGCGAATATCCCCCCTTGGTGACTTACCTTGTTTGAGATATTGTTGATGTCGTGTTCGTTGTACTGGCCTTGGTTGTTGGTTTCACTTGCTTTCAATATTGGCTTAAGGATGTGAAAGTCAGACAAGCACGAAAATAATTCCTGGCGCCTGATGATGATGAGGAGTGGCAAAAACGGCTATAGAGGTATGTACGGGTGGATAGGTGTGTGTTTCGGAATAAAGATGATGTGAATATGCTTGACAAATAAGCTGGAATGTTGGAAAACGTTTAAGGTTTGCTGCTGTCTGAATTGTGTCTGCGAAGAAAAATTGTTGAAGTCTGCCGTGCAGTTTTTGTTGTTGTTAATGGTTATTGGAGCAAATCCTCAAGGATATTCAACTGGTCTCTGTGGTTTTTCTGGTTGTTGCTTGTCTCTGCGGTATTATTTGCGGTTATGGTTAAGGATATATATTTTTTATTTTTGTATTTATTGTTGTGGCTGCTGTTCTTGTTGTTGTTACTATTGCTTGTTGTATTTTATTGAGTGCAATATTTCAATCAATGAATTCCTGTGGGAGATTATCACCAAAGGGATAAAAATGAAGAAAAAATAAAAATAGATTGTTATTATTATGATCTACCACAACTGAGGAGATGATTGAGGTTTATAATTTGTTAATAAATTGAAATGATAAATGGTTGTGATTTAAAAAATAATTATCAAAGGATTATCTGGATAATATCCTTATGAAAAATTAAGAAATTAAAAATTGTGGAGCGATTGAAAATTAAGTCATTTCAAAGGGGACGAAAAAAAAGCAAGAAGAAGCTCAATGAAACCAGCAAACATTTTAATCGTTTCAAATAAAACCCAGTAAGGAAAGTTCAAAAGTCGGACGGGGCCGACTATATGATGCCCTTCACCACTTAGGGTACATAGAAAATAAGTTAATATCTACAATATCCTGTAGATAGAACAGACATAGAATTTTGGAGAACCATTGAGATGGAATCGGGCAAAATTAAATTAACAAAACTTTGCAGACATCAGTCTGGACCTTATTCAGTACTCTGTGGAAAATTTTATCCCAATCGGACAAATATTGGGAGTTTAGTGGATCATTCACATAAAATCGGACGAAACTATATATGGGAACTATATCTGAATCTGAACTGATTTTCTCCAATTTCAATGGGGTTCGTCCTTGGGCCAAATAAGTGAACTGTGCCAAATTTCATCCAAATCGGATAATAAATGCGACATGTACTTTGTTCACAAAAATACAAGGACGGACAGTCGGACAGACGGACGGACATGTGGAAATCGACTCAGAAAGTGATTCTATGCATATTCTCAAAAGGAACCATGGGTCTATCTCACAACTAGGGCTCTGCAAGGCTTCATGTGCCTTCAAACTGAAATCAATATTTGCCACATTGGCTTCGTCCGGCCGTCCCAAAGTCATACGGGCGGTATTAGACCAGTGTACTAGGCAGAGTCAGATATTTGCTTCCCTGTTTCTTAGTTTAGTCGGTCCCACCAATCTAAGGACCATCAAATTTAAAGAAAATAAACAATAATCGTCGGAATCGTCTAAACAATGATTATGGAAATCATAGTCATAGTCATCATAGACTGAAATTGACAGGCTTCATGTCCCGTCAGACGGGAATAAATTTATACCCGGTAATGATTCCCAAACTGGCTTCTTCTGGGCGTTCCATTGTCGTACGGGATAGAGATAAGTAAATTGACTTTAGATTAATCGAAATCGAGATGTCGACTTTTCAAGTCGTTAAAAATCAAAAATCTGTTTCGAACTCGTTTAACAAAACCTAAAGATCGAAAAGTCAACTTTTTAGTCAAAGCCAAAACTCGAAAAGTCTAAAAATCGACTTTTTGGTCAGAAGCAAGAATCGAAAAGTCTAAAAGTCGACTTTTACGCTCGACTATTTAACCCTAGTACGGGCGGCATTTTACCAGTTTAGTAGGCAAGGTCCGACATGTACCTCTCTGGTTTGCATTCTTCGTCTCCCTACTGATGGTTTCTTGAAAAAAGACATACGAATATTCCCCAGAAACAGACCTATTTGTCTTCATTAAATACCTACTAGACTTGGAAAAGGATCTATTGTTCCCATATAAGCAAAATCTATTTTGCTTTTATTCATTTACATTTATTTTGGTCTTATCTTTTATTCCCATTTTTCCAAAATTTAGTTTTTATCCCAACCACCTTCTTTCTGACCACTTCGAACACAACCCCAAAAACCAACTGTCAAACACATACACCCATCATAACTACATTTTGATTAACATATTCATAATCTAGCCTTTATATCTTCACCACCATAACCAAATCCCCTTTCCATTCCCCTTTTGTCAAAAATAAAGCAATGAATAAGTGCTTAACTTGTCTACGGATTCTGGTCAATTCATAGACCAAAGTGATAATGACCAATGACCACCAAAGACACATGTACACACTCCCATTGTTTGTGTGGTTTGTTGTCCACCGACAAGTACTCTCCACAAGTACAAACGACAACATCACTGTCAGCAGCAGTTAAAACACTTCAAATCAGATAGCAAAGGGTATAAAACAAAATTTTGAAATTTCCAACCATCCTCCCCCCACACCATCAAAAATACACACACACACCATATGTATTGGCTCAATTTAAATCATTGTTTAATGTTTATTTAAATATCGAAATATAAGAAAACCCCCTTGTTAAACAAACATGTCCACTTTGGAGGTCATTACAAAAAAGCTAACCCCCTATACTTTGTCTCCTCATGTGTGAGTGTATGTTTGTGAAATAACAATCAATTTAATTGTTTTTGTTTTTTCTTTTTTTCTATTACTAATTGCAGCCACGGTAAATATGGGGTGGTGTTACAAGTTTGCAATGTCAAATTGTGGATGGGTTATTAGTTTCGAATAATTACCCACCAAAGGATTGCCGTTTTAAATATAGCAGCTCAGATCAACATGTGCTGCATATTGTTTAGATAAATTGTGTAATTTAAAAGGTGGTTATTTATTTATAATTGTTTAAATAATGAATTATTTTAATTAGGGCATATTAGCAATTTTTTAAAATGTACCAATTCTTTTAACTTGAGCAAATACATGAACGACTAAAAGTAGGCAATGCTTTTTGTCATTAAGACTCTTTGCTGCAGTATGAGTAGACATTGGATCAAATCAATGGGAATTTATAAAACTTTTCATTAAAATAGATTATTAATAGAACTTTTATAATTACACTTATATAAGGGGACACTATTACAGCGTATAAGGATATATATTTATTTGATTTAATATAATTTGAATTAAACATTAATTTTTAAATTGAAAGTCCTATTGCATAATTTCCAATAAATTTTATCATAAAAGGCAGTTCATGCATTTATTCTCCTAGAAGCTTAAGACTTGTAGAAAAAAATTAATTATAGAAAAGGCCTTCTTTATTATAACTAAGGAATTTATAAAAGCAGACTTATAGGTTCTCTCTATAAGTCTGCTTTTATAAATTCCTTAGTTATAATAAAGGAGCTCTTGAAGTATTCTTTATGCAAAATTAAAAGAATTTTTCATCGAATACCAATTGTTCATCTCTTAAAATTCCATTCTCACGGAAAACTAGAAGTTCGTTCCATAGAAGCCTGAATTTCTTCTCGAAACTAGTAAATATTATCTGCACAATAGTCTTGGTCCTGCTACCGTATTTTAGAAATTATAATCAATGCCACTTACTTAATTGTAAGTAACATTTCCACGGCAAGGCGTCTTTATTATAAAATGTCATTTTTTAGGTAAGCCAGCTTAATCCTTTTCTTGTCGTTTAAAAAAATAAAAACAACAAGATTTTTATTTTTAAAGCGAGTTATGGTCACATTGAAAAGAGGGGATAATTTCGGGTTCTATAGGAACATTGTTTGTTTTTTTATGCTTTCTTAATAGAAAGTTTTCTGTGATTCTAACATTTTTTTATAAAAAATAATTGAATTTCCTCTGAGTCTCACAAAATGATATATTTGGGTCGTATAGCTGCTGTCGTGAGAGTAACTAATGCTGCCGATAAAAACAGTAACTAATTTAAATTGGCTAATATTAAACTTCACTTCCCTGAACTTTTTTTTTTGTTTTTGTTCCATTTTGACTTTAGAATTTTTCCGAAAAGTATAATACAAAAATATTCTCTTACGTTCAACAATGTCATGTTTTCAAAAAGATCCTCCTTTTGTTGATTTTATTATGTTCGATGTACGATGGCTCGTATAATTGTTGTCGTTACTTATACGCTTCTTCCTTCAGCTGCTTCTTCCCTTCATCTTCCTTAATAGTTTTAATAGAAATAATACATTTTCAAATATTCCTATATTCCAAATAACAAAAAAAAAAGTTTCAGAGAATTATTTTATTTTTATATCCTACACAACTATGTTGTCAAGGTATTATAGCTTTGTGCAGCCCTAAGAGTTTGTAACGCCGCAAAATATTGGTCCTGGACCTTTAAGTACACCGATCGTGATATTATGAAGAAAATCGAAAGTCGATCTTGAAAAGTCGACTGTTTTAGAAACAGTTGCCTTTTAAACTATAATTAAGTGACTTTTTTATTTATCAAAGCATTGTGGCGTATTATAGTTGACGTTATGTATACGTCACACTGTTGCAAAAAAATACGGTCTGTTTGAGATTAAGCTTAATGAATCCGAATTGAAGTAGGAAGCGAAGCAATAGAAGGTCTCTACACCTCTATAATGAGGACTTGTTTGATATGCCACAATAACCCTTTCTTTCCATTTTCATATAAAAATATCATTTCTGTTAATCAAATGTCTATTTACGATTTTTTTCAGACAAATTAAATCAATTCAAGATGGTAAAAATAGCTATAAGGTATATGTAATGACTTCTACATATTATTCTGAATTTTTTGAAGATATAACTCTCAATTAACCCGAATAGGGCTGTAATTATTTTTTTCGAATTGTGGGACGAAACTTTCAACGTCTCTAGATTGTGGGCCACTGAATTCAAAAATTTG